GCCCTGACTAGACCATCCTAGCCATGTGTCCATCCAACCTGCCCTCAGAAGTTTCCAAGGTCAGATATGCCACAGTTTCTCTAGCACTCCACTCAATGTGTGTACACATGTAGGCTTTCACCGGCTATGTATGCTGGCTTGACCCGATCTCTGATGTTTTCAGACTTCAAGCTCCACAAAGCCCCTGTGGATCCCAGGCAACCAGCCCCCTCCCTCCCCCAGCTGGATTTTGCCCCAGGAAAGGGAGAATGGGGTCATTAGCTGGAAAGGCAAATGTTTTGCACCTACTTGGAAACAACCCCAGCCCATCAAGCAGAGGAAAATCAGCCCTTATCTCCCAGCTGGGGTGAAGAGGAGGTTACTCACCAGGGCAGGGCAAACACCAGGGGAGCCAGGCAGGCTCTAGTCTAGGGAGTGTGTTTCACAATCAGCCCTGCCCCTGCACATAGGGAAATTGAGGCAGGGCCTGATTGGGGGCACATGGGAGGGGAGTGGGGGCTGATCCCAGATGGAGAGGTGGGGGAACCATACCCAGGGCTACTCCCACCACCTCCTTGCTACAGCCTCTGCTTCTCTGCTGCCTATTTCCTCTTCCAGCGGTGATGGGCAGCCGTGTATCCAGCTGGTGGAGAGGTGAGAGTACAGACCTCCGCACAGAGAAGGACCTGGCACAGGACAGAATTAAATACCCCCTTGCCTTGCCCCAATCTAATCAGACTCTGCTCAGATGAATAGATCTCCCCAGGAAATCAAGGGGGGGCGGGCTTTGAACAGCTGAGGGAAACTGAGACACAGCAAGCTGACTTTGAACTGATTCTTCATTCAGAAGAGCAGTAACTAGTAGTGATGCTCGCGGCTACTTTCCAGCCTCAGTGAAGCTCCAAAGACCTGATCTGACCCACGCTAGGCCAGTTTCTGCCCAGCAAACACATCCCAGCCAACCTGGAGGGGAAGGGAATATTGGCTTCAGTTGGGAAGCCAGCAAAAGCCTTGACAATCCAGATCTAGGATGCCAGACACAGGAGTTTCTCTACACAGGTCCCCCCCTACCCCAGAATCACGCCACGGCTGCAGAAGAACATGCAAGACACTCAGAGCACACACAGGGACGCATCCATGATGGGAAGTCCGGCTGGCAGGCCTTAGAGGGGGCCTAGCACAGGCCGGTGCCTCTTACCTCTGCCCAGAGATCCCGCTGCCACCAGCCCCAAAGACGCCTGGCAGCTCACAGGCACCGGAGCTGGTAGGTCGGGGCAGGATCCGCCTCCTGCTCCCCCGCCCCAGGTAATCAGCGCTGATCAAAGCAGCCAGGAACAACACGAGAAACTTCCCCAGGGCTAATGATTTGCAGATCCCCACTAGGAGAGGAAGGGGGCAGGGAGGCAAGTTGATGGCAAGGCCCTTTGGGTGGGGGGGGAAAAAATCCACAAAGGTTTTCTTACAAGCGGGGACACACATGCAGAACCCAGGCATCTGGGACACACGCAGAGAAGCCAGGTCACCGGGACACACGCGCAGGAGCGCACAGAAGCCAGGCATCCAGGATATGGACACACACAGAGCCCAGGCATCCAAGGCACGGGCGCACACACAACCACAGCCCACATGTCCAATCACACGCACACACAGAAGTGCCAGGCATCCAGGATGCAGACACGCACAGAGCCCAGATGCCCGGGAGACACACACACACACACACACACACACACACACACACACACACACACACACACACACACACACACACACACACACAGACTTCCACATACAAACAGCCCAGGTGTCAAGGTTATTTGAGTGAATCTGATATCTTTTATTAGACCAGCTTAAATAGTTGGAAAAAAATTTTAAGCAAGCTTTTGGGTTCAAAAACCCTTCGTCAGGCTGAGGAAGCTTCAGCAGTTGGGGTGTGCTCTACCTGGATGGACTGAAAAGTAAAGAAGCCAGAGGCTGGGCTGGGCTGCATACAAGGGTATGAACCAGAAAGCTCGCTTAAAATTTTTTTCCAACTATTTAAGCTGGTCTAATAAAAGATATCGGATTCACCCAAAGAACCTTGTCTGCCTGCGTCCTTAGACCAACACGGCTCAATAAATACACAGGTATTCAGGTTGTAGCCATATTGGTCTAGAGGTAAAAGGAATCAGAACTCATGGTAGAGGGGATCTCTTTTATTAGTCTTTTATTAATCTAGTTGGTCTAATAAAAGAAATCCCCTGTACCATGAGTCTTGATTGATGTTGCCTCTAGACCAATACGGCTACAACCTGGATACCGAACGCACGGAAAATAACATTTTAGCCAATTTTTAAAATGAAATCTTCATAATTTTACAAGGAGGAAGCAAGTCTGACCACCTGAAATCCTGCTCCTGCCTTTGTTCGAGGTAATTTGCATCATCACAGAGCCTCATCACAGAGCTCAGAGACACTTTACCACATAAGAAATGCCTGCCCAGAAGAGCACCCCATCTTTTCACTCCTCTGTGAAATACGAAACATCATAGCCAGAAGGAAATATGACTACATCCTGCTTACTACCAAACAACTGTGAGGTAAACAGACTATTCCAACTTTTCTCTGAGCCTAATCTGCCTAACGAGCTGCTCCAAACAGGAGATTTTACCAGCCCGTCAACTCTCCTATGAAATACAAGCTTTCATTTCGACCCAGGAGAACTTGTACAATCTTTTCTCCTATGCTTAATGAAGGGTGTTTGCGTCTGAAAGCTTCCAATTAAAGATTTTTTTTTTTTTTTGCAATAATCTAGTTGCTCTAATCAAAGATATCACCTCTACCACGAGTCCCGATTCAATAAATATACATACATGCATGTGTGTGCACACACATATACAAGCAGCCCCAAGAATCTAGGGGACAGGGACACACACACACATGCTCAGAAGCCAGGCATCTGGGACACATGCACAGAACTCAGGGGTCTGGGACACACACACACACACACACACACACACACACACACACGACTCGGGCATCTGGGAACATGTACCAGGTACCTAGAACACATGTCCAAAACGTAGGGAGGGGGGAAATCTGGGATACACAGCCACAGCCACAGCCACCCCAGGCATCCTCCCCACAGCCATCAGCTACTTCTGCTCTCTCAGTAAGAGCCTCAAGGACTGAGACAGGAGCTGAGTGCTGCCCCTAGACACACCTCTCAGAGCCCACCTTAGTATGTCAAGTGCCAAAACCCCCTAGGCTGGCCTCAGCTACTTTTCCCCCTGGATCAGGCCTGAGCAGACAAAACTTTTCTTGAACCAGGGCACTGGCAGCTGCTGGGATCCCCCGGCTTTCTCTGCGGCAGGTCAGGGTGTGACGGCTGGTGCAGTATCAGGGCCCAGGCTCCTTCCAGGAAGAGCTTGGACAATGGATTTCCCTAGGATGGTTTAGACAGGGCGGATCCTGCCTCAGGCAGGGGGCTGGACTGGATAAGACCCTTGGAGCTCCCTCCCAGCTTTATTCCCCATGATTCTCACTTGGGTATGAGCCTAGCCTGGGCTTGCTTTTCATATGCACACCCTGCCCCCGAATCCATGCCACTGCACCTGAGAGGCAGAGGATGTCATGAGGCTGAACCCCCCCTCACTCCATTTAGAGCACAGTCAAGCCTGGGGTGGATTCAGAGGGCCAGCACTTATTCCCATCCGGGGGAGGCGAGATCTAGGAGAGGGGGAGGAGAGATCTAAGAGATCGATTGCCTGCAGCCTAGCAGCTGACTCAGCTGAAACACCCCCGCTCTCCCCGCTCCCATGCTCCCAACTGAAATAGTCCAGTTGTAGCTGCACGTAGCCAGCTGCCAAGCACTGTGTGCAGCTCATGTCTCCGCATCTCCAAGAGGATGTTCTCAACCTCAGCAGAATCAAAGCCCACCCCCACCTCGTTAGAACCCCCCTCGCTCTCTGCCTCTCCCACCTCCTGTGCTAATGAATGCACGCTCAGGACGTCTCTGGTTCCTTTTAAACCCATTTCCTGCTCGTTCCAGTGGGACTAAGGAGGACTGGGTTTAATCCAGGGCTGATGTGTCCTGGGTTTTGACTCCTATCCAAGGGACAATCCTTTACACATGCAGCTTGACTGACAACTCATTACAACAAGCCTCGACTGCCCCATCAGGGACAAGGCGTTAATTCAGATACTCCCTAGGTACTGCAAGTGGGACAATGAGCTTGTAGGATCCCAGGATACAAGTCTTTATCCTGGGAAAAGCCCTTGGCCCGTTTCCAGCCTCGGTGCCGCTCCTAGTATCCAGGGATGTGGAGATCAACATTCCCTGGTCTGGTCCCTGTAGTACAATAGAAGAGGCCCAGAGAATGGCAAGCCAAGTGATCTCAGGGAGCTGTAGCCAGACCAGGAGAGACTAAAAAAAAAGGCCGGGACTCTTATGTTTAGAACGGACAAGGCTGGGGGGCATAAGATGGAGGTTTATAATATCCTGACCAAGAGTGTGGACCAAATGAGCAGGGAACTGCTATTCCCCCAGTCCTAGGATACTAGAACCAGGGGGCACTCGCAGAGATGAGCAGGTAACAAATTTAAAATGAGCAAGAAAAAGGTTTTTTTTATGCAATGTGTGGGATTTGCTGCCACGGGAGGAGTTGGGGGCAGAGAACAGAGCCAGGATCACCAAGGACTCAATGAATTCATGGAGGAGAAATCTGCTGGCAGGAGGCTGGTGGCAGAGCAGCCGATAGGGCAGAGGAAGGGGATCAGGGTGGCACTCAGGGAGGGCACGGAGCTAAGCTGCAGCCGCAAAGCTCGGCCCCCAGTGAGTTACATCCCACCCTGACAAGGCCTCACCCTTCCCACTGGGGTCTCCATCAGAGAATAGCCCTGCTCAATTTAGGGGGGCTGACACCTAATCCAGTTCCCCAACACCAGGATTAGATCCTTAAACCCTTAAAACATTCCCCTCCAAACACCATCAGGGACTCAGCCCAGAGGGACTTTCTTCCTCTTCAGCCCTGAGCTCACAGTTACCTGCGTCTAATGCTGAAGCCTGGCATTGTCCTAGCGCGGCTGGCTGCATTTAGATCACTGCTTTCTGTCTCTCTCTCTATCACCTGCCTTTGGTTCTCTCTCTCTCTCGCCTCTTCTTTCCTACTGGTCTCTGCGAAGACTCGTCACACCCCGCTCACCTTGCCCTTCTCTAGCCATCTTCAGTCCTATAATAGAAATACATAAGGGGTCCTTTTAGCACATCACTTCCACTTAGCACGGCCGGTTCATCAATTTCTCTGCATTACTGTACTTCCTTGATATCGATTTCTTGGCATCCATCTCTCTATATCCATTTGTGTGCATTCACTTCTCTGCATATTTATGTATGTTTATTTCCCTGTGTTAAATGTCTTGTCCTCTGTGTTAGTAAGGCCAGAGCGAGCGGGAGAAATACTCCCCTCCCTCCATAATGGTATTCTAACCCCCAAAACATCTTTACAATAAAGGGAAAACAATTCAGGTTCCTCCTCCTTCATGTGTAATGAAACAAATCTTTAGCTCACAAAAAACTGTGCATATATCTATGCATACATACACACACATATATATAAATACATGCATGTATTTAGTTATGTGTGTATATACACACACACACACAAATATGCTTATGATGTGTGGATGTGTGTACACACGCATACCCCTGTATATAAATGTGTGTTTAGTGTCTGTGTACAGATACACACACATCTATATGCATATAGTGCACGCATGTGTACATATACATGCATCCGTGTGTGTGTATGCATCTATATATAAAAACGCAGTGTGTATATACATATATGTTATATGTACACACACATATAGATGGATGTGTGTATATAAATGTGTGTATATATCTAATGTGTATAGTGAGTGTATACACATATCTAGTTATATATAAATATATACATACACATTTATATAGCTAGATATGTCTATATACACACACTATATACACATATATTTAAACATAGATATGTGCATGTGTGTATAGTGTGAGAATGTAGACATATCTGCTTACATATAAATGTGTGTATATACATATCTAAATATACCTATGTATGCGCAGTATGTGTGTATACCTGTGCACAGTGTGTATATACATATCTGTGTAAAGTATGTAGATGTGTAAGCACACACTATACATTTGTAGAGCATGCGTATACATATCTATATATACACGTGTAAAGTGTGTACACACACACTGCATACATGCATGAGTATACACACACACACACACTAAGCACACACATATTTATATAAATCGGTACACAGATATATAGCTACACCCACCACCATATACATATACACAGAGATTTGGGTTCATCTACAAGGTGGATCTACCTTGCTTCCTGCTGTGGAAATTCAAACCATCATCACATCAACTTTGGCAGCAGATTTAAAAAAAAACAAACCAAAAAACAGTATTTTTGGCTGAAACGGTGTAGGAGGCAGGTGACGGGGGGTTCCATATTCCATCAAGGCACCGATTATATTAATTTAAAAAAAAAAAAAAAAAAGATTCAGCTCCTCTACAGCTATCCCAGCCACGCCGTCATCCCCATACAAATCATCACGCACAAGACTTACGACCTCTGCCAGTGATTAAAACACCGTTTCTTTCTCTTTTTTTCGGCAGACCTGGTAAATACAACATAAAACCCCCAGGGTCCAGCCCAAATTGGGAAGCTAACAGTGCGCTGCATGTCAGGGGATCTTAGAGGGGTCCTGTCAACAGCATCAGGGAGGCTAACAGGATTGTTTTCAGTGTCGGAGACATTTCGAGTCAAAACTCCCCTCTCTTCAAGTAGAGAAATAGAGGGCCAAGTACTCAGGCATCTATCTTCAAAGCCACCCCCACCCCACACACCTGAAGAGCATGAATTAAATGTCTCCTTTAAGATCAAAAACACCATTTTTTTGGCCAAACCAAAATCTAAATCTTTTTCCTCCCCTAAAATAAACTTATTCTATTGTGAATAGCTGACAAACAACAAAGCTACCATGTATTGCCTCATATACCACATGTATTTGCCTCACCAAACCCAGCTGCTGGCAATTAAGAGTGCATATTATATGCAAGAAACATGGTAAGAGCGGTCTCTGTCTGTATAGAGCAAATAAAATCTACAGGCAACTACCAAGGAGCCCTGCGCCCCCCCGCCACACATAACAGACATCCCACAGTTCACTGGTGAACCGCGCAATAAACGGAGACCGCCACACATGCAAAGTAATTGCCACGCCACAAAAATGGCCATCCAGCTATAAAGAGAGTCAACCAGCTACAAAGTTAGTGCCCATCTAACCCCTTCACCTGCAGACGCCTCATGTGACTGAGCAAAGCCACTTCCATTGAGCCTCAGTTTCCCCACTTGACATATCCTCCCCCTCCACCCTTTGTGAGGAGGGGGGCAGGAGGGCAGCTGAGCTCTGGGGCATTTATTAGGTACATCTAAGGCCTCAGACAGGAGCCAACAGGGCTTGGGACTGGTTTTCACTGAAAAAAAGAAGTGCTTGGGAGCTCTGAATAAAGACGCTCCCTCCAAGCCGCTCTGCTGCTGCCCTCTGCTGGACAAAGGTGGGCACTGCCAGAGCCCCAGCCTAGGGGTGGGGGGGCGCAGCTCCCAGAACCCCCTGCTCTCACGCCTTGGTCCCCACTCCATGCCCCGAGCTGGAGACAACCCAGGTGTCCAGGTTCCCAGCCACGCCGGCTTTAACCCCCACCCCAGCCCTCGATCCCCTCCCAGAGTTGAAAAGAACCCAGGTGCCCAGGCTCTCAGCCCCCCTGCTCTAATACCCTGGCCCCCACTCTCCTCCCCAAGCTGGAGAGAGCCCAGGCATCCAGCATGAGAGGCAAAATGCCCACATCCAACCGGGGGGGTTGGAGGAAGGATTGGGGGGCCTGTGTCTGGCAGTGGAGGGGCATGGGGGCCCCCCTATATCCATCCAGGAGGGGTGGGGGGCTTGATCCAGCTGGAAGCAGGGGTGGGACTGTATCCAGCTTGGGGACAGGCCCGGATGCCCACCCACAACCCAGGCATTTGCTCCTCCGACAGCTCTGGGAGGGGGAGAGAGAGAGGGAACAGAGCCCCATTCAGCCCTAACAAAGGCCCTGTTCTTCCAGTGGCCAGAGGTGTGGAGAGAGGGTGGCTTAGCCTAGCTGGGAGGCAGTGAGAACTGGAGTATAAGCACAAGGGCTCGGGGCCTATGTGCCCCCCAGGGCTCCAATCTGCCCCCCCCATGCCCCCATGAAAGGGGTCCCCCTTAAAGCCCCCCCCCCCAAAATTGAGTCTTCATGGTGAAGGAGTTAAGCCCCCCATAAGGTGTCAGGTGCTAGACAGCTCAGGTCTGTCCCCACCACCCCATCCTAAGGGGGCCACATGGACCTGGAGTGAGATGTGGGGGATCTAACCATTGGACCGCACTGCCAGCTCTGGGAGGGGAGCGGGGCCCAAGCAGGATGCCTGGGTTCACTCCCTGCTCGGCGAGCGGAGGAAAAGCTGGGTGGTGAGATCAGGGGGAGACTGGAAGCCTGGACGCCTGGGGTCTCTCCAGTTCTGGGAAGGGAGTGGGGACTGAGAGAAAGGGGGGCACACTGGGAAGGGAGGGGAATCTGGGGGTGCAGGGCTAGAAGTCCAGATGCCTGGGTTCCCTCCAGCTCTGGGAGGGGAGTGGGGCTAAAGGGGGTGAGGGCAGAACAGGGACTGGGAGCCCGGACACCTGGGTTCTCTCCCTATTCTGGGGAGAGAGTGGGGCTGGGAGCCCGAACGCCTGTCTCCCTCAGCACCAGTCACTGACCTGGAACTCTCCAGCCCCCTCTGGGTGGTGAGAGCTGGGCCCACCCCCATCTCCTGGACTTCTGCTCAAAGACTCTATGCAGGATCAGGCCTGTGGCAACAAGCCTGGCACCTTCCAGCTGCCAGGGCCCCGGGCGAGGAAGCTAATTAAATCCACACATTAATTTGCAAGGCAAAATTAAATCCGTCGTCTTGCACAGTCTCTTCTTGTCAGCGCCAAAACTAAACAGGGTCAAGCTGGGACAGTGCATGGATGGGGGATCTGGCCCTGGCTAGAAGTCAGTGCTGGCCCCACTTGGGGGTGCTGTGCTGCAAGGAGTGGGGCAGGGGGTGCTGGGGGGCACCCTCCCTTCACCCACTGGGGGGCAGAAATACCCCCTGTTCTGCCCCCCATAGCACAGCACGCTCTAGTGCCCGCCCCCAGAGCAGCACTAAGCCTGTAAGCACAGTGCCCCCTGCTGGGCATGTGCCAGGGTAGGTTAGTGCCACATATGCACACGTGCGTGCACACACACATACACGACCCAGATTACATACGTGACTGCTTTGAGGCTGTCTTATGACCCTTTGTGTGTTAGTGCCACATGCACCCCCTTGTGGTGGGCTAACACACCCTGGCCGGATGTGGGGGGGAGCAGGTGTTACAGGGAGCACCACAAGTGTGGCACTAACATGCCCTAGTCTGGGTCTGTGTGTGCATGCACAAGTGTGGGGCACTCACATACCCTTGTGTGTGTGCACACAGAGACCCAGACCAGGGCATGTGAGCACCACACCTATGTGCATGTACACACAGACGCACACCTGGGTATGTTAGCATCATACACGTGTGCACACACAAAGACATAAACCAGGATGTGAGAGTCCCACACATGTGCGCGCAAACACACACAAATACTGATAAGCATACAGCACTCACACACCCTTGCCTGTGTCTGTATATGTGGTCTACTCCCTAACCAAGACCCAGAGGAATTGTGGTACCAGACACAGCACAGTACCCACCCAGCCAGTGGGTAAATTTCTGTGCGTGCCAGAGGGGGTTTCTGTGCGTGCCAGAGGGGAGGGTGTTTTTTTTGGCCTGGGAACATTAAAAACTGACAGCTCCTGAGTGAGAGAAGGGACTCCTTTCCTTCCCTGCTTCTGCCCAAGGGCAGTGATGGTGAACCCAGGTGTCCTGCCACCTCCCAAATGCCCCATCATGTCTCCGTCTGGGTACAGGTTGCGATTGGAGCACATGGGGGCAGGGGAGAAAAAAAACCCAAAACAACTCAGGCCCCCAGATCAGCTGGGAGAGGAAGTGCCAGTGGAATGGGGACTGCACCAACAAGGACAGGCCCAGACAGCAGGACTCTGCAGCTCTAGGCACCAAACCATCTGGGCCAATGGACGAAGGTTCGTGCCATGCCCAAACCCTGCAGGAAGCCCTTCAAGACAGGGCTGTACAGAAGGGTGGAGGCATGTGATTGTTAGTACACACACACACACACACACACACACACACACACACACACACAGTTTTTTGGACACCCAAACTAAACAACTCAGTAATGGTTGGCCCCCAGTCCATGCTAGGATGGATCTCAGACACATACAGCCCAAACACCTGGGGGACAGACAGACACACGCACACACACCCAGGTATCTAGGGGACGGACATACACCACCCCCCAGGGGACAGATGAATGGACAGACATGCACACACACACACCCTAGGCATCCGGGGCAGACACACATATAAGCTTTTTGGGAAACCTGAACTAGACAATTTGCTTATGGCTGGTTCCAAGCCCATGCTAGGATGGATCTCACACACACACACAACACAGACATCTGGGACACACACACCCACCCGCACTCTACACACTTGTATAAGCTTGTTCAGAAACTGAAACTAGACAGGTCACTAATGAGTTAATTCCCAGTCCATGCTACGGATGGATGTCAGGTGTGCACACACCGCCCCACACACAACCCAGGCATCTGGGACACAAGCAATCTACACACTGGCACCTGAGTTCTGTGTGTGCATGTGTCCCAGATGCCTGGGCTCTGCGTGTGGGGGGTGTGTGTCAGGTGTGTACCCCAGATGCCTGGGCTGTGTGTGTGGGGTGCGTGTGTCGGGTGTGTGTCCCAGACACCTGGGCTCTGTGTGCACGTGTCCCAGATGCCTGGGCTCTGTGTGTGGGGGGTGCGTGTGTAGGGTGCGTACCCCAGACGCTTGGGCTCTGTGCATGCATGTGTCCCGGACGCCTGGGCTGTGTGTGGGGGCTGCGCGTGTCAGGTGTGTACCCCAGACGCCTCGGCTCTGTGTGTGCATGTGTCCCGGACGCCTGGGCTGTGTGTGGGGGCTGCGCGTGTCAGGTGTGTACCCCAGACGCCTCGGCTCTGTGTGTGCATGTGTCCCGGACGCCTGGGCTGTGTGTGGGGGCTGCGCGTGTCAGGTGTGTACCCCAGACGCCTCGGCTCTGTGCGTGCATGTGTCCCGGACGTCTGGGCTCTGTGTGTGGGGTGCACGTGTAGGGTGCGTACCCTGGACACCTGGGTCCCATGTGTGGGGTGCCATGCTGTGCGTGTGCACGTGTCCCGGGCGCTGGGCTCCGCACGGGGTGCGTACCCCGGAGACCCGGGCTCTGCGTGTGCCTGCATCCCAGGCGCCTGGGTTCCCTCTGCGCGTTATGCTGCAGAAATCTCTTCCCACAAGAAAAGCATACACATTACATAGAGATATACGGATCTAGGTCCCCCTCTCCCCCGACAAGGACCCCTCGTCCGCTCCCCACAGCGGTGTAACAGCAGAGACGCGGGCAGCCGTGGCCCGCAGGTTGGGAGAGAGTGGAAATCAAGGGCACCTACATTGAGGCTGGCGGGGCTCCTTTTCTACTGCATTGGGTGGAAAGACACGGGGCAGCCTCTGAGCAAGACCCGGGCTCCCGAGCAGGGGATGGCTTCTTGCCTAGAAAAAGGGAAAAAAAAGAAGCCGAGTGAAAGGGGGAAAATAGAGCGAGGGACAATGCCACGGGAAGACGGCCAGCGGCAGGGGCGCCGGAGACGCGTGCTGGGCATGGCAAGCCCAGAGCAGCCCCCGGCTGCGGGGAAGGGAGCTGGGGTGCGAATCCAGGGCGGCGGGGAGGGTGTTGAGGTCTCTGAAGTCAAAAGACTCCCACCGGGGCCTTCGCATGGCTGAGAGGCGCCAACTCTGGAGCCAACGTGGCCGCCAGTATGACCAACCCCGCCCCAGCGCGGCCCAGTCGGGAACAGGGCTTGAACTTGCGTCCCGGCGGGGGGTGGGGGGCACCCTGTGCCCTTTGCTGCCCCGGGTTTAATTCCCCTGGAGGTCTTGTAGGCTTCAATGGAGCCTCCTGCCTTCCCTGGGGGGGGACCCATGGTGTCGCCATGGTGACGAGGCCTACCCAGCCCACTCAGGCCTGCGGGGCAGTACTCCCAGGACCCCACCATCCGCTGTGTAGACAGAAAGCCTGACCCCATGGCCGCCTCGCTCCCCCTCAGGCCTCATTTAAGTTAAACACGTTGTCCACGCTGCCATTTTGTCTGGGGGGCCGCAGGCAGGGACAGGCCAAGTCCCCGGGCCCCTACATCACCGCGACAAAGACTCGCACGTGCAAAGACTTGCGTGCGTACACGCCAGAGCGGCACCTGCCACGTCACACCGGGGAACGGTTTCACAGAGGGCAAAGTCCATTCCCCAATGTGACCAGCACGATCCCCCCGCCCCGGGGTAGGGACACGCGATTGTTCGTGACCACACGCTGAGCCCCGGTGTCCGGGACACCCCCCGCCATAACCTACACGCTCAGATAAGCCTTTTCGGAAACCTGACCTAGACAACCCCATCCCATCCACATGGCCTCCATCTAAGCCTAGGATCCAGGGCAGGGGGGAGCCCAGGGCAGCGTCTGCCATGAGGGAGCCCCCATCCCGGGCCCGGTGACACCCAGCCTCCTGCCCACAGCCATCTACAATCGGGCGGGTTTTAGGCAAAGGGGAACAGGCGGCGGGCGCTCGGGGCTGAGGGCTGTAGGCAGCTCCAAGGGGCGGCTGTTGGACCAGGGCACCCCACGGTCTCCAGTGCTGTAGGCAGTGCCCCAGGAACGGGGACCCCGACCTGGATTCACCAGCCCAGACGGTTCTCCTGCCCTGCGGTACATACAGCGCCTAGCACCAGAGCGTGCCCCCCTCCCAGCTGGGAAGAGCAGCGGGTACAGCTTTGCTGGCACGAGATGGCTCCTGGCAGCCAGCCACAGGGAGATGCCTTCTGGCGGCGGAGTCCCGTCTACACCAGAGCTGACCCCCTTGCCCTCAGGCACCGACAACGGATTAAGCCCGGCTCTGCTCTCGGCCTCCGTGAGCACCAGAGCCCTGAAGCTCGCCGATCCGGAGCTCTCCAGAGCCACCCGCTACACCCCGCTGCCCTGCACAGAGTCCCTAGGACAGCGCTGTTCAGTTTGATTTCTCCTTTGCCGCCTCGCCAGCCCTCAAAAGCACTTCAATTCCCTTCCCTCTCCCTCTGCATGGCTGCAGGCAGCTCCTTAATTTTCTCTCCATCATCATCTTCACCCTCTGGCTTCTTCAGTTCAAAAGCATCCACCCTTCTTTGCAAAGCAAAAGATCCCAGGTTCATAAAGCAGCCGGCAAGGGACGCATCTGAAGCTGCAGGAGATGGAGCAGGGGTGGAGAGAAGAATGCAACACAGCTGGAACAGGGCAGCTGTGGCCTTCAGAGGGGACGGCTGTATCAACTGCATAGGGACGGAGTTATACTGGGAGAAGCCATTGTATATGGACACTCACCGTGATCCCAGTACAGCTGAACCCACCACAGTTTTACCCCCGTTTCATTCAAAGCTAAAAGCAACAGTGATTTAACTCAGCCCTGTGCAAACCAACAGCAATGGCCTCTTTAAGGAGGGTTAAAGGATACATGCATCCACAAGCCAGTCCCTTATGCCATGGTAAAAGACACTACTGGCCCCCTTTTGCCAAGACCTGATCAATAGTCTGCCTTCCAAAAGCGAAAAATAAGCAAAGCACGGTTCTTATTTAGGGGAAGCGTGTGGTTTTCCAGGAAATACGGTATATGAAGCAGAGACAAATCCTCATCAGCAGGTCTCACATTTAACCTTGCAGAGAGGGAAGGGGGAAAAGAAAAATGTAAGCAGAGGTGTTTGCTTTCGCTGCCTGGGACTGGAGCTGCTTGTTATCAAAGCCCAGATGGGGGGAAAAAGGAGACAGCAGGGAGTAACCAAGGCCAGGCGGGGCTGATCCAAAGAATGCACAGCATCTGCAAATGCTGGTTCAGCGAGCTGGGTATGCCAAGAATCCAGGGGATTTTAGTGGGGGAGAAGACCAAAAAAACAAAAATCAAGGGGGAGAAAACAAATAATGCATGCATAGAAGAGAGGATGAGACAAGCGTCTATTCTGCAGCTGGAATTTCTTCTGAAGCTGCATTTTCTGCTTCTGGACTGGGGGGAATTAAGCCCGGTGGCAGGGATTCTCTGGCCAGGCCTCCCCTGGAGCCAGTTCTGGAGGGGAAGGAAAGGAAGCTGAAGGCAGAACGGCTGATGGGACAGGGGGAGCGCAGGGTTGGGAACTGAAAGCAGAGCAGCTGATGGGGCTGGGGGCACAGGGCCAGGCGCTGAAAGCAGTGCAGCTGATGGGGCAGGAGATATGCAGGGCCGCAGGCTGAGAGCAGAGTGCCCAATGGGGCACGAGGGGTGCAGGGCCAGGGGCAGAGAGCAAAGCAACTGATGGGGCAGGGGGGACAGGGATGGGCACCAAAAGCAGAGCACTAGATGGGGCAGGGAGAGCAGAAAGCAGAACAGGTGATGGGGCAGGGAGCAGAGAGCAAAGCAGCCAATGGGGCAGGGGGCACAGGGCTGGACACTGAAAGCAGAGCAATGGATGGGGAAGGGGGCCGAAAGCCGAGCAGCCGATGGGGTGAGGGAACGCAGGGCTACAAGCCGAGAGCAGAGCAGCCGATGGGGCAGGGAGCAGGGATCTGTGGCACTCAAGGGGAGCACAGGGCTAATTTCCAGCCCCCGCCACGTTAGATCAAGGAGGAAAGACTCACGGAGCAGATTCTGGCTCCCAGTAGGGTGGACTGGCTGGAAACTTGCCCCGAATTCTCCTTCTTTCTTCCCTGTCGGAAAGCAAAGTAAGACTGTGGGGACCTTTGCTCCCTGGTGCCGGGCTAAAGCCACCGCGTTCCCACTGAATCAGAGCTCCCAGCTTCACGCATGACTGATTCCAGCCAAAAAAAAAAAAAAAAAAAGGGCCGTGAAGGAATTTTGCAGAAGAAATCAGAGCAGCTAGGCAAGCTGCCTTGGGGGGCGGGGGCAAAACAGCCCAGCCCCCTGCCTCGGGCAGGATCAGGCCCGTGTGCCCCAGTCCAGGCTTTTCCCAACCTGCTCCAACTCCCACGCACAGCACGGGGTGTTATACTTAGCCGTTGCCCAGACCTTCAACCCAGAGCTGGCTGCACAGCCCAGCACGGGACCCCCTTGAATAGACCCTGGGTGCAGCCAGGGGACCTTGTCCAGGCCAGGAAAGCGCGGGTTCAAATCCCACCCCCCACCCTTAGAGAAATGGGCTAACCCCTACTCCAGTGAGAAATCAGAGCTTCCCCGCGGCGTCCTGGCTCAACAGCATGAGCCTTCATGGAACGCAAAGCCTGCGCTGGCCAAGTTTCCCAACTCCGTGCAGCCCACACCTCCTCTCTCACGCTTCACATGCTTCCACTAATTGAGAGCCTGTCCTGACACGCGTGTCCCTTCCTGCCGGGCACAGATTAAAGTGTGATGCTTCCAGACAAGGATTTCAGCCATCGGAGCTAAATCTCTCCCTGGAGGTTCAATAAGAATCCCAAGAGCGGCACAGAAAATCATGAGATTTGTTTAAATAGATGGGGTGGGGGGAATTTAGTATGGGGACACGGGGCAGGGGGTCAAAGCAGAGCAGCCAATGGGGAAGGGGGGAGCAGGGCAGGGAATAGAGAGAAGAGTGACCGATGGGGCAGGGGGCACAGGGCAGGGCAACCAATAGGCCAGGGGAGAGAGCTGAGAGCAGAGCAGCCGATGGGACCAGGGAGCGCAGGCCCAGGCACCGCAACCAGAGTGGCCAGTGGGCCAGGGCTGGGTGCAGGGGAGGGAGCCAAGAGCAGAGCAGCCGATGAGCCAGGAAGATTGCCGCTCCCCCCCACCCCATTATGGCACTGAGTTCGGGGTGGACAAGAAGCAGCTATAACTGCAGTTCCTTTTTAACTAATCAAGGCCAACACAGGGCAAGACTTTAACGATTCTGTCTTGTTTAAACTGAAGG